TTGTTCAGGGCTGCCGTTCCCAAAAGCTTTAATGCTTTCTTATGATACTTTTGGGAAAAGCAGTCCTGTTTGAATGTACTATCAGAAGTGAATGAATGCTCTCTGTGATTGATTAGTTCTGTCTTGCAACATTTGCGTGTTCAGATTAGCATGAAAATAGTTCTATCCTACACAATTACTCACTAACAAATTCAATGCATATTCGTCCAATTCAATGCATATTGTACGCATTATTATTTTTTTGGCTTTCACAACGAAACACAGTGTCACACACACCGGCCTACTGTGAGCAGAGGCCGGGGGCTAGCGTAAGGAACGGCCGGAGGGTTCACGCCGGCCTACAGTGAGCAGAGGCCGGGGACTAGCGTGAGGAACGGCCGGAGGGTTAGAGTGAGCAGAGGTGGGGGGGCTTGAGGATGGGGCGGCCGGCGGTTTATGACCCCTTTAAAGGAATCGCTCACCACAAAATTTTAATTCTACTACACTTGCGTTTCTGTTTCTTTTAATTGTATCCATAACATTTTCATCATTCCATGAAAAACAAAAGGGATGTTAGGCAGAATGCCTGAACTGCTTTTTACCATACAGTGTAATTTGATTGTGATTTATACTGCAAAGCTGCAAAAAGAAAAGAAAAGAAATAAATGAAAAGAAATTAAAAACTATGTTAGTAGTCCATAAAACTTGTGCGCTATAGATGACGTCTTTCGAATCCATATGATTTCGTAACTATGAGCTATGTGCAGCGCTGGGTAGATTACTTACAAATTGTAATCCGTTACTGATTCCAAATTACATGGCAAAAAATTTAATTAGTAACTTAATCCATTACATTACACAATTTAGGTAATATAATCAGATTACTTTTAGATTACTTTTGAGCTATCTCGTTTTTCACGTTGATTTAAATAGGTTAATCGTGTACCATATTGATATAAAAATACAAAGAGTAAGAAAATATATTTAGTTTGTTGTTACTAACAACATGAAGTGCATTAAATATTTTATTATGTCAAGGTTTCCTAAACTGAGTTTGTGAAGGAACTGCAGGGGGTTTATGAGGTTAATGAAAAGCTAATAATTAATTAAATCATAAAATTTTGAATTAAAACAAATAATTTAAAAGTTAATCATAACACTTACTGAAAAAATGAAAAGATTTGAGGGATTTAGGGATATTGTCGTACTGGTATCGAAATCTGCTGATAATGGCTTTAAATGTAAATATTGGCATGGATATGAAAAATTATGCCAATAAGATGAATACGTTAACTCGCATGTGCTCAGGGTGTGCTAGTGATTAGATCACATCAGCAGTGTGGCTCATTCTTGAAGCAAAGTTTTGTCTGAATGATTCACTCTTTTGGATCCCGGCATTTAATCTGTGAAAGCACGTACAGAATGGCATGTTCAGTGTGTTCAGTGTGTGATAGCGTAAACCGTAATAGCAGGTGCAGTGGCAACAGTGACCGCCTCCCCCAGGTCCTAATGCCCGTAAGGAGTTTTAATTTGTAGGGGGCCCTGTTGGCCTACTTCTAATTAAATTAAAAGTAAAATAGCCTACACAAATAACATTTAGACTGTGTTTCTGATTAAATAAAGCAGTAATTGATGTCATAAAATAATGAATATGGTCAGAAGCTATAGCTTACATGAAAAAAAAATCACAAACATGAGACTTGTAAATTAAATAATTTTATATATACTGATTTATTCATTAATGTGTAATATGTTTTATTTTTTAAACAAATCATAAGCTCTAAAAGATTTTCAGAATTTTTACAACTCTCTTGCTTTAGACCATCTACAAATGTTAAATCTTAAAATACAATTTTAGGGTTAACACTGCATCTTTCTGGGGGAAAAATGCAGCGATTGATATATAGTTTATTTATAGTTATTTTCAAAGCTTCGAGACTTGGTGTTGTTTCCAAACAAAAGGAAATATTTCGGTATCGGCCAAAATGACTTGGAAAAATATCGGCCTATCGGATATCGGCAAAAATTCTATATCGTGCGTCCCTAAATATTTTATTTGTTTAAAATTTTATTTGTGAACATGCAAATGTAATACTTCATCATTAAAATCTTTATTTTAAAATCTCAAGAGTACTTCAAATAAAAATATATTATGTTAAAGAGGATCAGATGGCAAAAAATTTGGTGAATTTGTGCATTTTGTATGTGTTTGAAAGACAAACATCTTCCAAAGTAATACACGATTTGATACATGAGTGATAATTGAAATAAAAATTAATGTTTTCATCAGTAGTTGATGCAATATTGAAACGCTACTTAAATCTGAAATGATTGTTGTAAATCCAGTGGTCAAATGCTGAGTAGCCACTTTACTGATCTATGTGTGAATGTCCACAAAACTGTAAGACTTTCTGAGTGCATATAAACAGTAGGCCAATTTAGAAAGGACAATTTAAAAGAGGAATTAGGAAGAATCAATTAATTATGAATAAATTATTGCTATAATCAGATTACTTTTAGATTACTTTTGAGCTATCTCGTTTTTCACATTGATTTAAATAGGTTAATCGTGTACCATATTGATATAAAAATACAAAGAGTAAGAAAATATATTTAGTTTGTTGTTACTAACAACATGAAGTGCATTAAATATTTTATTATGTCAAGGTTTCCTAAACTGAGTTTGTGAAGGAACTGCAGGGGGTTTATGAGGTTAATGAAAAGCTAATAATTAATTAAATCATAAAATTTTGAATTAAAACAAATAATTTAAAAATTAATCATAACACTTACTGAAAAAATGAAAAGATTTTAGGGATTTAGGGATATTGTTGTACTGGTATCGAAATCTGCTGATAATGGCTTTAAATGTAAATATTGGCATGGATATGAAAAATTATGCCAATAAGATGAATACGTTAACTCGCATGTGCTCAGGGTGTGCTAGTGATTAGAT